AAAACGGACCAAAATGGTGAGCCTGCCCGCAAACGGAGTCGCTGTGTTTCCAAATTCAAGAGACTTGTTGCAAGGGCAACTTAAAAAGTTTTGCTGTAAGGACAGCTGAAAATGGAAGGGCCAACATTCAATGCACACATCAAGTGTGCTAAATATGTTGCTGCAAGGGGCAGCCTCTTCTTTCAGGTCGTGACGACAGCTAAGATCGGCAAGGGCCGACAAGAGGTGCAAGGGCACCGATGACTCGTCTAGTCGAGATGAAAGGATTCTCTAGAGAGCTTGAAAACAGAGGGAGTGCAGGCTGCTATAAACTCAGCACTTGATTGCACAATTGAAGGCAACGACGTGCTGACATCTGAGTTTATCCCTTGACTTTTTCTCGGCTTTAAAAAAAAAGAGAGACAAGGGAAAGGGTCGCAAAGATTCCGAGAGGAAACAAAAAAAAGCCAAGGGGCAAAGAAAAAGAGGCGAAAGCCCACATGTTTCCGTGGCCCCTCTTTCCGGGCGGTGAATCCCGAGGCTCTGCCTCCATGGGCCGCAGAAGGAACAGAAGCAGCAGTGACAGCCGTCGCTCAAGACGCAGAGACAGGAGCCAAAGAACGTCTAGATCACGTAGCCCAAGTGGGCGCCGAGACAGGTTTCCAGAGACCCAGCCGAGGACCCCAAGTGTTGGGATTCCTAGCACGCAAGCTACGCAGCCAGGATTTCACTGGTGCCAAGTGCCGACAGCGGCCTTTGGCGTGGCGTCGGGCCCACAGGCCCAGGCATCCCTTTCCGCACAGAAGGGAGCTGAGGCAGCTTCTTCTTGGAAGTATTCCTCCCGGTGGCAAGAACAGTCCACCCCATGGAAGAGCCAGCAGTCTTCATGGGGCAAGGGTTGGGGGCAATCCAAGAATTACGGCTCCAGCAGCTCGTGGCAGGGCTCTGGTGGGAATCGGCGTGAGAAGTGGGACAAGCCTAAAGGCTGGAATCTCGGGTGGAGGCAATTGGCGACTTCATGCGGCATGTAGGGTAGCTGGAGCTGCTAGATGCCGTGAGGCCTACTGCATCAAGAGTTGCTATGCAAAGGTCTATGGAGTGGCTGTTGCCCTGCCATTCTAATTTTCTGTTTCCGGCCGACTGCTGCGAGTGATGAAACAGCAACCAGTGCACGAGGGTTTCACTGATGCATTGGACGTTCAGAGTTCTCATGGTCCAGTCCATGTCGGCATGTGCTGCTGAGGAATGCGCACAATCCGTTTAGCACTTCTAGAGCAAGCTCTGTTCCCGTGCTTCAGCAGTCAGTGGATGCATGTCACCCTGTCTGTGAATGCACACATACCGCTGCCTTTTGCTTTCTGCAGCATTGTGCAAACACACTGTATGCATTCTTAACCTACCCTGCTGCCTCGTGTATGGACGAATCTTCATCATCTTTGGAAGCAGCAAGCTCAGAGAGTGCTGAGTGGTGGCAGCGCGTGCCCCAAGCCCGTTTGCAAGTGGTCAGAATCTTGCCCCGAGACTTTCATTTGGAGTGCTTGTTCAGAAACATACATCAAGAGCCCAATCTGCACACCTACGTCCTTGAACCCGACCTCCTCAACATCCTCCTCAGCCAAACTGAAGGTTCGAGAATTTTGGTTCTTCTTCCCGTTCGGTCGTGGTACTACTTGACGTGTTCAGCCAGCTGGAGTAACACGTGCCTCAGGCATCTTCTTGCACGTCATGTCTAGAGATATTACAGATGAGGAGATTGCTGAACGATTCTGGAGAGTGCCAGTGTGGGAAATGAGCTTCACCCTCCTTCAGCACTTGAGACAGATTGCTTATCTTCGCGAGAGATTCGATGCTCTCGAGCGGTGTCACGACCGAATGCAACAGCAGTATTCGCATCTCGTTGATCTTCATGCACGTGTTCTGAGTGAGTGCGAGCAGCTTTGGCAAACATGTGTGATACTTCAGTTTCACCTCGATAGGCTTCAGAGTGTTGTCGACCTCCTACAGAATCAAACCCGAGGTTTCCACGACGACATGACATATACCCTGTGGCTCCAGGGCCTCCGAGTGCACGTGGCCCCCCCTGTCCCACCGAGACCCAGTAACGTGGTCCGTGTGCAGCAGATGAGGGACAATGCGCGCCGCTCCCGGCCTTACTGAATCTTCCCGCGGGGCAGAAGTGCAAAACATTTCCAGTGCTGTCTCTGTGATGCTCATGTGGCAGCAATCTGCGCGTGTATTGAAGCACCATGTTATGTCATGTCACGTATGCCACCTCAAGTTCTTGTTTTCTTCTGTGGGCCCGAGTTTTGGATTTTGTACAACAACATCCTGCCAAGATGGACTTGTGTCTTGCAGAGCGGGAAGCCGAGGCTTTTTCTGCTGAGTACGAGGACATTAACTTGCCCCCCTGCACCTTTTTTCCCCATACCGGGCCTTCCGGTTTTTCAGACTCCAAATGCCACGCTGATTCATACATCAGCACCAGCTGGGGAATCAGTGCCAGCTGGTTGGTATGACAGACAAGAAAGCGAGCCCACAGAGGCATGCTTTGGCATCTTTGATGAGCCAATCCAGAGTGCCGAAGTGGCATCTCTTTGTGAAGAGGCCAAAGAATCGCAGGTGTCTTGAGCTCCTCACCGGGGGCTAACGTTTCAGCAAAGTGATCAAGTGTAAAAAGAAAGATAGACCTTTCGAGGAGGCTGTTGTAGGCATGTGATTGAAGAACATGTAGATGCGGAAACAGCTGCTCGAAGCCTCCCCGTCCACCAGTTTTGCCAAAACATTGCAAGAATTGGACGAAGAGGAGAAGATGTTGTCCCTTCGTGACATGTTTGGCTCGAAATCACCACACACAATCCAGAAGCGTGCATCGACCTTGTTGAGGCTGTTTCGTTGGCTTCAAGAACAGGCAGATGCGCAAGGGACCTCTGTGGAGGAACCCCTTCTCCCATCAGAGGAGGCGGTGTACAAGTTCTGCAGAGAGATATCCCACAGCAAAAAGGGCAAGCTGGCACCTCAGAGCGTGGTACAAGCGTTGAAGTTTGTGAAATTTGTGCTTTCCATTCCAGATGTGGAGAATTCCATCTCCCCCAGGGTCCGAGGCTTGGCAGACCGAGTGGCAGGCGAGCACGAGCCCACACACCAAGCCCGGGACCTAACAGTGCTTCAAGTTAAATTTCCGGAAGAGTGGGTTGGGAACACCGAGCTCCACGTTGTTGATTGATTTGCAGCAGGAGTGTTCCTGTTTCAGATCTTCAGCAGGAACCGTTGGTCAGACATCAGGCACGTGCGATTCTTGGAGTTCGACTTTCTGGAAATTGGACCCGAGATTTGTGGTTTTCTGGAAGGAATCCTTTCAAGGCAGGGCTAGAGAGATGAAACAGTCCAACAAGAAGAAGAAACTCTCGTTGTTCATGCCCCTCGTGGCTCCAGTTCGGGGGGTCCAACCGAAGGTGGTGTGGGCCAAAGAATGGCAGAAGGTGGCTGCCGAAGCAGGGAGCGTGCTCTCGAAGACCCCTGTAGGCCCTTTATTACCGGCCACCGCCCCCAGATGGCGCCTGGCTGCAGAGGTCCATCGACTCGGGACTGCTAAGGAACCGCGACCCCTCAACAGCGAGGGTTGCCACACAGTCCTTGAAACACAATGCTGTTGGGTGGTTGAGCAAATACGGCATTGTGGGCGAGACACAGACACTCTTGTCACATTATTCGACTGGAGCTTTGAGTACATTAGCTTACTCAAGAGATGCCCTTAGTGGCCCCCTCCGGCAGCTGGAGGAAATGCTGAAGCAGGTACGGGAGGGCTCGTTTTGCCCGGACGCTACTCGAAGTGGATACTTTGCCCGAGCCCAAGGATGAGAGGCAGGTGCATCTGTTGACCTCGGGTCCTGTCTTCCGATCAGCAAGGTAGGCAGCTTGGATGGGCTGCCTGAGAATTCCGAAAGCACGCATGAGGACGATCTCCTGGGGGTTGGACTGCTTTGCCCCCTGCAAGGGAAGGTCTTTGAGTCACCAAGTGCCATGCCCGTCTTGGAAGCATCCGCACCATTGGTAGCGGAAGGAGAAGAATCCCCCCTAGAAAGAAAGTGAGGAATTAGACAAGCTGGCGACCGTGACCTGTGGGCTTTGCGAAACAGTGCTCGATAAGAATGACACACAAGATGCAGATGACAACGGGGAGGCAGAGTTCTGCCCTAACACATCAGCAGACGGGTCCTCCGAGGAAACCTCTGATGGAGCCTCGTCGGAAGAAAAGGAGGAACCAGCTGCGGCCCTGAGTCTGCCAAAGGGTTGGAGAGCGATCCGAAACAGGAAGTGTACCATGCTACATCTGTACAAAGTAGGTCAGACGACGCTGAAATGTGGCAAGTGGATCAGCGTTAATTTTGTAGAAATGGAGAAGCCCTCAGCGAAGTGGCTACAGTGCAGCCGTTGTTTTCAGGAGTTAAGAGCGGGGTGACATTGTTGTTGGCCGCTTTGTGTGTATGTGCAGCACAATCCCTTTGTACCAGCTCTCTCTTTTGCAATGTGCAGTTTTGGCCCCACGCCCTAAACATGGCAAACGCAGCGGATAGTCAGCCTTTCTTCGAGCAACATGCTCGCAAGGTCGGGATGGAGCAGCAACTCTTCGAAAAATTCATAACTGGAGGGGTCAGGACGGTGTCCATGGCAGCCTACGCCGCCACTCAACCGGGTCAACCTCTCACAGACAGGGAGGTCTCCACTCTATGCACGAGTCTGGGGCAGGACAACCCCACTCGTGCACAAATGACGGTCGTCAAGAGGCTCCTGTTCGAGTGCCGGACCATGAGTCTGGCAAATTTGGAGGCCACCGTGGAACAGCAGCCGGACTCAGTTCTACGTAAGCTGCCAGGAGCTGAGAGAGCCCAGCGCCTGGAATTGCAGGCTCAAAGGAATTGGCGCAAGGCAAGCCAGCCAAGGAACTTGTGCTGGACGCTTCGGGGGACGGCCTCTCGGTTCAGGATAAATCCTCTAAAGTGGAGGCCCAGTTGGGGTCAGACATGGCGACTTACAGAGCGTTGCAAAGAAGGGGTCTGGCCTACGACCTCGTTGGCATGTTGAGTTCCAAGGCGCACGAGAAATGGCTTCAGAAGGACTTTGATACCTTGCAGACCCCAGCGCCCCCAGGCTTCAACCGTCCGACGCTGCAGCAGGTCCTGCGAGCAGATCGGGCCTTGTGGAGGGAGCTTGGCAGCAAACAGCCGACCCTGAAAAGGGCAGCGGCGAAGGTGCCGCTCGCGGACGCCCGGTGCTTAGATCAAGTCTTCCTGGAAGCCACAAACACGGTTGCAGTCAATTTTCACTTCATGCCGACACCTCGTGCGGAAGGGTTCACAGATAAAGGAGGCAAAGGCGCGGGCAAGGGCCCCCAACCGTTGGGGCGATGGAAAAGGTATGGGCAATGGAAATATCAGAGGACAGACAAAAGGGACAAGGGCCAGAGAGGCGAATCAGGGGTCAAGGGAGCCCGCCTCCCCACGGAAGGCAAATTTGACAGTGGCAAGGGCGGCTTTCCGAATAAGTACCTTGTGTTGCAAGGAGGCAAGGGGGAGACCCCCATGCCGGCCGCCTTGCGAGGTGGCGTGCCGAACGACGAGCACGGAGATCCTCTTTGTTTTGGCCTCAACCTAGGACAGTGCAAGGATGCCCCATTGGGGGGGCAGATGCGCACGTGGCAGACATGTATGCTGTCACCCAGGTTGCTTTCGGAAGCATCCCTTTTCTGAGCACAAGCACTCAGGCCAGGCAGCCTGAAAGAACGCCCCGTTGCAAGGGACGTTGACAGCGCCTCCGCGCTGGACCAGGCGTCCCGCACTGCTCTGACCGCGCGTCGCGCACAAGCGTGCGCGGAGAGAGCGGAAACAGCCATGGGGGAGGGTGGAGATAGTTCAGCCCAATTTTGTGAACAGAACAATTTTCCCGCTTCTTTGGCGGACAGGCCCAAAGAGAGCAAGGAGTCGCATCCTGCTGCTGTTGCGAAAGGGCAAGAGAGCCAATCCCACAGTTTTCCAAGCCTTCCGCTGAGGCTTCCGTATTTTCACCTAAGGCGAGTCATCCTGGCGCGCACAGGTCTGGACAGGCGCAATGTACTGCGCCCCAGACCATACAGGAGTGTTGGGTTTTGGAGATTTTCGCAGGGTCAGCCGGGATTACCTCGGCGGCTGCTTCAGCCGGCCTCAGGCGGTCGGTCGGAGTGGACAACGTCCGCAGGCCAAGCCGCAAGGGCAAGATAATACAGCTGGACTTGCTCCTGCTGTCGCACAAAGGTCTGCTGTGGAAATGGCTGGGTTCCCCAGGACTGGCCGCCGTATGGCTGGCGCCGCCCTGCAGCACATCCAGCAGGGCCAAGGAAATCCAGCTTCCGTGGGAGGACGAGCCGCATCCTTTGAGGTCAGTGGAGTACCCGGAAGGGCTTCCAGGCCCTGGCCCAAGTGATGCAGAAAGGGTGGCAAAGGCTAACGAGCTTTGCCGGCTCACGGCCCGAAGCTGGGACTTTTGCTGCGAATGCGGCATCGTGGTAATCATAGAAAACCCCTATCGCAGTCTCCTCTGGCGTTGCATCGCCGTTGAACACATCCTGAGGAGTGAACAGGCAATTGTGGTCCAGTGCGACTTTTGCATGATGGGAGGCTCGAGATTAAAGCGGACAGCCTTGCTGGGTAACAACGACCTCATCACAGGCCTGGCTGTCAAGTGTGTTGGATCCCATGAGCACCTACCCTGGGAAGTGCACGAGGGAGTTCTCGCAACAAAACTTGAGACCGCGTACCCGCAACAGTTCTGCAAGCACTTCGTTTCCCTGCTGTTGCAGCATCTGACACAGAAGGGTTGTCGGGATGGCCTTAATCTCTTGGAGGGAGATCCCGCAAACTCCTCAGGAGCCAGGGTGGTAACGACACAGGCAAAGACCAAAAGGGCTGCATCCTTTCAGGTCATCCCCGGATTTTGCCGACGAACCAGATGGACAGTGCCCAGCCAACTCCGCAGCACTCTCCAAACTACACAGTGGTTAGGACCGGACAAGATCCCGGGGTTCAAGGCGCCAGGAGCCCCGGCGTTGAGAGTGACGCCCCTACTGTCTTCTGCGACGGACGTTCTGGTGGAGGTACCGTGGAACCCACAGGAATTTGTGGCGAAAGCCCGACTGGTCGGCTACCCCCGACACCTGTGTCTCGGGGTGCCACCCGCCCTCAGGAAGGCAATTTTGGCGTGCTCTAAACAGCCCGCAGCCAAGGTGATTGAGACTCGAGCAGCGCAGTCACGAAGATGGCTCCAGCGAGCCCAGGAGACCAACCACCAGGTCATCAAGGAAGTTGAGGACTCATCTCAGTTTCTGGAAGAACTGTGGCAGAAAAGTCTCGATGAAGTGTCGAAAGGCTGCTCGGAAGGACCGTTCTGAGAACAGGGCTTGCCACAAGGAGCTGTAATCAGCAAACGTTTTGCAATCCAGCAAGGGAGCAAGGTGAGGCCGATCGACGACCTGTCCCAGAGCCACATCAACGAGGCATTTGGGAGTATGTGGAAGATCGAGTTGCACGATGTCGAGACAATTGCAGCCTCAGCCATCTTGTTCCTGAGGCACGCAGGACAAGGACTGCTTGGAAACCATTGACCTGAATCAGCGTATAGGCAACTGCCACTGTCCGAAGAGGCACTCAACATGGCTTACGTGGCGGTCAAGGACCCAAGCTAGGGGGAGGTTCGCTTCTTCAGGCTTCTTTGCCTTCCATTCGGCGCCGTGGCGGCGGTCCACGCGTTCATCAGGGTCAGCTTGGCTATTTGTCATCTAGGAAACACGTTTTGGCACTTGCCTTGGAGCTCGTTTTACGATGACTTCACGCTGTTGTCAACACGACAGCTGGCCCCTAGCGCAGAGGCCAGTGCATGTTTTCTGCTAGACTTGCTCTGCTTTGAGTTTGACAGAGACGGAGACAAGGCTCCGCCGTTCCAGGAGGTCTTCAGTTCTTTGGGAGTAGAATTTGACCTTACAGACAGCAGCAAGCAAATTTTTTTAGGATCCAGAATACAGCAGAACGAACCAAAAGTCTCATTGAAGACCTGGCAGTCTTTCAGGAGCAAGGAGCCTCAAGCCCTAAGACCTGGAATCGACTGAGGGGAAGGCTGCACTTTGTGGCGGGCCAACTCTCTCTGGGCGCTTGCCGAAGGGCTTCATGAGAAGAATCTCTGACATCATCAATGCCCCCGCATATGTCAGGAGACAGAACCAGAGCCTCCCTTTGCGCAGCACTTCAGGGGCTACGACATTACATAGCCGAAGCGCCGCCGAGGACGGTGCGAGCCCAGACCTCAGAGACGGTGTATCTTTTACGGACGCCTCGCAAGAGGACTCCAAGGCCTCGAAATGGGTCTGGGAGCAGTCCTGTTTAATGAGGAAAGTCCAAAGTCATCAACGAGCTTGAGAGCATAGCTGTTCTCCTGCTCTTCATTCTAGCCCGAGAATTTCTCCGGGGAAAACACGTGATGTGCTACTTAGACATTGAAGCGGTGCGCATATCGCTCCTCAAGCTGACCAGCGATTCAAAGGCCTTGACCCTCTTGAGCAATGCTTGCGCATTGTTGGAACAGGAGCTCGAGATGATTCAGGTCTACGCTCGGGTACCGAGCAAATCCAACGCGGCGGATACCCCATCCCGCCTTGACTTTACAGGGTTGCCACACAATTGCAGGTTCAAAGACCAGGTGCTTCTCGCGGAAACGGCCAGGCTGGTAAACTCGCTTGTCGGGCGCCGCGCCTGACACTCCCATGACCAAGGAAGGGACTTGCATTCTCCCCGACCAAGAGAGGGAGATTTCGTTTCTCACACACCTGCAGAGGACAGATCCCGGATGGAAGCAGACATGGCAAATCCCCTTCCTTGGAAAAGATACCAGTGCATAAGCTTCAGTCTTGTTAGCGTGAGGGTGCACGTCATTGCAGTCTGTGCATGTGAATGCATCGCTGTGCATGGGACACAAATGAACAAGCATGGCATCGATGGATTGTCCTGTATCTTTGGCCGGGAAATGTTTTCACACATTTGAAACATTTTTGTTTGGAAAATAAGGTTATCGTGCTGCAAGTACAGACCTTTATTTTCCGGAGAAAAATTTTCGAATTCTCCGAATGCGAAAGTTTTTCGGCTCAGACGAAGAGAGGCCACAGCCCTCTCAGTCACAACCCTCGTGGAGAGGGTCGGGGAAAATTTTCTGCCCACCCACCCACTCCAATAGTGCCTTACATTTGGCAGTTGGGATGAAACGTGACGCCGGAACAGCGGGTCTTGATGAAGACACGAACAAAGAATCGAGGATCCAATGGCTGGCGGTAATGGTAACCAATGTGCCGGTTGTGGATATTGTACTTTGTAGAGTGGCGACCACAGGAACAGTTGACGACGGAGATTTTGCAACTATGCCAGGAGATGACTCTGTGTGCACAGGAGGTCATGGAAGCATTCGGGAAGGGACCAGGCAACTCAGCGAGCGTGTCGAAATCAGGGACCTTTGTCAGCGCGAGCCTTACTTTGTGTGGCTCGAGAATTGCTTTTCTCACCACTTTGCCTTTTTCAGCACTCTTCATGGCGCGGTCGTTGACACGAGCTCAGCTAGACGAATTTCGAGTGTGGCTTCACGCTTTGAACATGGATTCCCTCGTGAAGGTGGCTGAGGTATTGGACGATCTCATGGCGGACCGTGAGATGCAGCAAAGAGAGGCTGCTGCAGCTCTTCAGCCTCAGTGGCAGTTTGTGAACCCTGAACCCGCCTTTGAGCAACCGAATGAAGCCGCTTCGTCAAGCTCTCAGCGACAGCCAGAAACTTCTTGACCTGTCGTTGTGAACCTGATGAATATTCTGTTCAGGCCGTCACACCTAGGTCGGACCTGTGAGGGGAAGTGAGTTAGCCGACGTTCGGGAGATTTCGTTTCTCACACACCTGCAGAGGACAGATCCCGGGGAGATTTCGTTTCTCACACACCTGCAGAGGACAGATCCCGGATGGAAGCAGACATGGCAAATCCCCTTCCTTGGAAAAGATACCAGTGCATAAGCTTCAGTCTTGTTAGCGTGAGGGTGCACGTCATTGCAGTCTGTGCATGTGAATGCATCGCTGTGCGTGGGACACAAATGAACAAGCATGGCATCGATGGATTGTCCTGTATCTTTGGCCGGGAAATGTTTTCACACATTTGAAACATTTTTGTTTGGAAAATATAGCACCAAGAACACCTACGCCTCTGGGCTGTCCCAGAGGGGCCGCTACCTACGAGTAGGGTTCCAAGCAAAGCCAGACCTTTAGCTACGGACTCCCATCCCTCCTACGGTTTCCTGGTGGCTTAACCACCGTCCCCCGTCAGACCCACAAAGCTTCTAAACTAAATACGGCTTTGGAACAATTTACGACCGAAGCCGTGAGGGTGTTGATGTAAGGTTCAAAAGCTTAAAGCCTACTGGAGTCTGCAAATGCGGAAGCCCGATGTAAGCTTCTGAACTGCCTACCCTAGGGTTTAGGGCTTGAAATTTCGGTGGGTGCACCCACAAAGCACCCATTCCCACCGCCCCTTTCCGAGGTGTCCAACAACCTAGGATTGCAAGGCTCCGCGTTAAGAGGCCCAACTCTGAACCTCTAAACTCTACAAAGGGTTCTGTATAATTTGCAGAAGTCTGTTTCTGATGCGCCGCGGCTGTGGAGTTGATCAACGCACCGGTCTTCTTCGGCAGGCAGTCAG